TAAGTAGAACACTGGTTGCCAGGAGCTGGGAGAGTAGAGGTAATGAAGACTAAGCCTTTAATGGGTGTAGTTTCAGTTTTACAAGGCGAAAAAGTTCCAGAGATTTGGCTGCACCACATGATTATGCTTAACATTAGTGAACTATACACTTAAAAATGGTTAGGATGGTAACTTTTAGTGTTATATGTACTTTCACCACAGCTAAAAAATTTTTTTTGAAATCTCTGGAGCCCACTCAATTGTACCATCACATCCTCCTCCACTGCATCCTCTCGGTCCTGACAGAGGGATTATCTAGTCAGTCTCCTTGCTGAGTAAGCACACTAACCTGGCTGGACAAGCCCCTAAAAGCTTTCCAGTGGATTTGAGTCCAGAGCTTGATTCGGGTAACTTATCCAACTGGTAACAATTCAGTGTGTTCAACTTTCTTGTCTTTTAAATCTTACTTAAAATGTTTGGTTTGAGCTAATTTCCTCTGCAGCCTTAAACAGGACACAAAGCACAGCTGGTAACCATCCTGTACGGAAGTCTCCTGCATGCTTTGAGACCGCTGTTAAGTTACCTTGCTACTTAAATGCAACCGACTGCTCATATTTTCCAGCCTAACACTTAGCCACGTTTGCTTTATGGAATTGAACATTGGGTGCTCACCCATGCTGTGCTCTGTTTGCATGGATCACAAATTCCTTCTTCAGGAGAGCTCTGGCCTTGCCCATCACGCTCCTTCCTGTGCAGGCCTCCAAAGCAGCACACACCTTCCGTTCAGGCCTGAGGCCTTGTCAGCCCCTCAGAACTCCCTAAGAAGTCAGCACACAGCATGGCAGGGTGACCATGGAGTAGCAGCATGCCAAGCAAACAGCTGTGACTAAGAGCCAAGTTCACTGTCACTCCCTAGCTACCAAAAGCTTGAACAAGAGAAACTTATTTTTGGACAGTATCTGCAGGTGGACCCCAGACTGTGTGCTTTCTGCACTGCACTGCTGTGCGCTGGGGTCAGCGTAGTAGGTGCAGGACGGGGAAGAGCCATGGAGGCCCTGCTGCAGCTCTCGGGTGGAAGGTGTCACCTAGACACACATCACAGGGGACTTGCGAGGGTGGGGCCACTGCCTCCAGGACTCAGGACAAGGAACACTTGCGCATCCAAAACATGGTTATTTTCACCTCATGGTGTCTAACTCCTAACACTGACCTTTTTCCGTGTTGCTTTTGCTGGTAGGTAACTCACAGTCAAATTTGGGAACTATTTCTGAACAACGCTGCTCAGCAGAATTTTCTGTGATGAAGATATTTTGTATTTGTGTTCTCCAATAGGATGGCACTAGCTGCATGTGGCTACCGAGGCCTTGAAATGTGTCTAGTGAGACCAGGGGAACTGATTTTTTTAAAATTTATACTTACATTTTAAGTTCAAATGGGTAGACACAGCTAATGGCTATCAAGTGAACACAATTCAGGAGAACAGATAAGAAATCAGAGGTGTTTGGATGTTACACTGATACTGTCATTTCAGGCCCAGTCTCCCTGCCAGGAGCGGATCCCAGGCTACAGAGGCAGCGCTGAGCCCTGGCTGTGAGACCACCACAGGTGTTGGTGTCTCATGAAGCAGCAGCAGGAACTTCACTGAGAGCAGGCAAGCAGGTGGAAAGGGCCAAATGTGTTTAAAGAAATAGATTTAAGGTAAAGGTTATTGAGAAGAAAAGGAACAGAAATAAATTGGAATTCCCAGGCCGGTAGAACTAGGCCAGGGAGGGTCAAGGGAGCTATATGGGCCTGTGTTCAGGGGTTGGCCAAACCTTTTATCTTCATTCTAGAATCTCGTCGTCATCTGTGACTGGCTGTCTCAGTAGCTGTGCTTCTCCAGGCAGCTGTGTCCAGCTGCACAGTTCTTATTTCAGTCTTTCTTTTACTGCCCTGTCCAAGTCTCTTAAAACTTACTCTCCTTATTAGCCTTAAAATTTACCACTCTCAAATTGGTGATGGAAGCCCATGGGGATTACAACTGAGATGAAAACATGAACAAAATGAAGAATGCTATAAAAAAAAAAAAAAAAACAAAAAAACAAATTACCACCCTCGTTAACCCTCCTGGATGGCTCTGTCCTTATCTCAGAAGCTTTTTAACTGTCCCAAGGTCTCTGCCTCCACTGTCCCTGAAGATGTTTAATTAACCCTAGCTTGTCCTGGGGCTCAACACGCCGTTCACTGTACTTTTTAGTCATATTTATCCTCTTCTTAACATCCTATCGTATGTCATTATTTTCACTAAACTTCTCGTCAGCCATCTTGGATCCTTTCTTTTAATGTGAGATCTGCACATAAACACAAAAAGATGACGGCCACAGTCCCCGTTTTTTGACTAGCTACTCCTTCCCCCTTCTGTTCGGCACAGAGTAGTATGTTGACTAAAGCAAAGGAAGCCCTTGGGCTGAGGGAGGACAGCCTTCTCTTTCTTGGTCTGTTGTTTTTTTTCACCCCCCCCCCCCCGTGTGCTACTAATCCAAATGTTTAATTTGTGAAAATTCATTGTGTTGTGTATTTATGGTGGGTGTGCATTTCTGTATCTATTATTATTTATAGTATTTTTCAATGAAAATGTAGAGAGTATCTATTACATTAATGTAGTGGAATGATTCATCAATCACAGGTCTCCTTGACTTCAAAAAGCTGTAAGTCGGTATCAAGTATGATGCAAGCTCATGAGATGCATTTTCCAGAGCGATCACAGCTTCTGACAGCTCCCCACCAACCTACCTATCTGCCTGCCTTTTCTACCCAAACCAGGCAATGCTAGGAAAGGAGCACAGATGAGTTTCAGGAGAAGGATGGGTTTTTCCCATATTCTCAGGTCTAAGTGAAACACATTTTCAGTTTCTTCTAAAAGGCTGAGGCACTTTCAGGGGGAATAAAAAAAAAAGAACTCTCAGGTTTTCTCCTCCAAAGAAATTAAATGGGAGGAGTCGTTTCGGAAACATGGGAATAAAATAAAAGTCAATAGGGTAGGATGGAGAAATAAAGTGCAATCTATAGTTTCAGAAAGAAAATGAAAACTACCCATCTAAGATTTTTCTGTCATGTATAACCCTGTCTAACTGTACAAAATTATTTAATGAAAATTATGGTTGAAAATGAAGCCTAAGGAAAAATACAGCCAAGGAGACTGTGAATACCTTAGTTTTGCAAAAGACTGAAACAAAGTTTTACTTTTAAAAGTAACTTCAAAATATGGGCAGGAGTTTAGCTCATGCTAGAGGGGACAGCTGCTTTCTGTAGGGGTGTGGTCAGCGTAGCCAACTGAGGATCAGAAGCAGCTAGTGGTCATTTCTGCCCACATCCATTCAATTCTTCCACAGGTTAGTACTCTGAACAAGGACTGCATTCCTAAGACCCAAGATACAAATCTCTTTTTCTTGTCATACTCTGATGCTCTACCTTCAAAAGCCTACACATTTGAGAGATTTTTATAACCTCACAGGGATCTTCTTCGAAATACACTTTCAAGGTTCTATTGAGTGCAGTGAAGGTCAAGCTTTCACACTTTGTTCTTTATTCCAAGGAGTAAGAGAGGAAAACTATTGTAATTACTGCAAAAAGTGAGGAAAAAATCCCTTCGGAGACAGTCAGATTCATTTTGGTCTTTCATTATAAACAAAATCTTTTCTTTAACTTTTATTTATAACAGTTGCATAATATTTTGCACAAAGAATTGGCAGTTTTCAGAAAGTGAATTTTTTTTCTCATACTTCTAACGGAATTACCAGAGCAAGTGCTAACATTCAGTTTATTGAATAAGAAATATAGTTCATTAATCTATATAGTTCAACAGGAAATCTGAAAATTATCAAGTTCCTATAAACAGCAAATATCTCAAGGTGACCTTTATGACTGGACAGTGTGGCCAGGTTGGAGTTTTAACCAGTTCTCTGACTCACTAAGTTCTCATTTCACTTTATGACATGTGAATTGCGGTCCTAAGTTTCATGCCAACATCAACAAAAAACTCTGAAGCTGTACCTGTAATCCAACTGACTACAATCAGTGCCTTCAAGACAACAGCCCCTAATTCACTATCAGCTTTCTCCACGCAAATAGTCACGTATAAGAACTGAGTGGCCAGTGGCAGAGGCTTTTCCAAAAAAAACAAAGTCCTACACACCTAGAACCGATTTACCTGTTAATTCAAAAATGTCTTGGTTTGGTAAGCACTTATCAGGTACAGTAAAGTGTAGGGTGTCCTTAAACTGATAAAGAGTATAAGTAACTCTAAAGAGTGTGGGCCAGCAGTGGAAGGATGGGAGGAGAAGCGGTTCAGTAACAGAGTCAAGACCTTAACCACAAACTAACAGGAGAATTTACTGCATCCATTAAAATATATTTACTTACCCCTTTCCAAGTTCAGTGAAAACAAGAAGTACAAAGGAATCACTCCTTGAAGCATTTATGAGAAAGTAATATTTCAAGCGATCACCAAATTTTAACAATCTACTGCCAGCAGAAGGGTGGAGGCGACTCCAGAGGAAGTGGGTAGGGGGTAGCTTCTCTACAGAAAGGCCCTCTATAATCACTTACCATTTCCACAGATTGGTTTTCCTGAAGTTCCTTTGTAGAAGTGAGGACTACATAGGTACAAACTCCCTAAGTGTGAGGAGGCAGATTCAGGAATCATTAATAACAAGCTCCTCGGTGTCTAAGCACATCTGACATCCCCAGAGGCTACCGGCATTTCGGGGATGTTCAAACACAGGCAGTGAGGAAGCCGTCATCTGACCAAGCACATGACCTTGACATGTGAAAAGAACCAATGGAAAGAGCCCTTCATGCCACCTCTTTGGCTTAGGTAGAGTCTGGACACCTTGACCTGCCCCGAGAGCCAGATGGAGCATCACTGATCTCACCTTGTTTCTCGCCCTGCTACCTCAGGTTCCCAGCAGAGTAGGCTAAGTTGTTTCTCAGTTCCCCCAGCATAGACAGGGAGACAGACAGACAGACTTCCCTCAAGGTACCTGCAGAAGGATCTTGTTCCCATCGTGGTCCTCTGTCTGCCAACGTCCTTCACTGATGGGGCTGCAGGGGTTGGGCAGGAGAGGAACAAGCTCCCCGATGTCCTTGACCCGGAATTCTAGCACCGAGGAGTCGGTGGGGACTGGGATCTGGTCACAGGGTAGTCTTTTCAGGGAGAACTGGATGTCCACATCCAGGTTGGAAAAAATGGGGAAGATGCAGAAGTCCGGTTTCCTCTGGCTGGGGCTCCGCCTCAGGATCAGCTCATAGAACTTGAGGATGTCGGAGTAGTTGTCATGGCGACAGTAGATGGTGAAGCGAATGATTTCCTTGCCATAGTGTACAGGCCGGATGGCCCACAGCGGGGTCCCTGGGGCCAGCGTGAAGAAGTCCTGGCTGCAGGGCAGGTAGGGCAGGAACCTACCGGGCACGCGCTCCGTGTGGTGGTGGCGCCAGGGCGGCCGCTGCAGGGAGCGGTGCAGCTGCAGGATCTGCTCCTCCCCGTACTCCTCCTGCAGGAAGAGCACCACCGCCAGCGCTGGTTGTGCCGCCTTGGGGGACTTTCTCTTCCGCCGGGAAGCCCTCCTCTCTGACACCCGGAACAGCTGGAGGTCCGGGTGGATCCAAGCCAAGACCTTGTCGATGGCCTCCTGCAGGGGCTGGGATTCTCCAGGGTCTGCGATAATGTGGATGCTCACCAGGAAAGGGTCTTGTGCTTCTTCCACAGAAAGTTCACCTGGGAGCACAAGAAAGAAAAGCAACAAAATGAGACTTATTATTCGGGCGACATGTAAGACCTTCAGGAAAAGCTGCTAAATTCTAACTGTACTGATGTGAAGATCATGACGATTCTCTGACCCCAAGTTCATGTGCAGACTACTGTTGTCGGACCCTAGAGCCCCAAAGTAAAGAACTACTGCTGAGTGGTGCCCACTCTAGGCTATGCTAGGAGAGCCTCCCTCTGCTGTACTTCATCAGGCTGTGCTTTCCACCAGGTGCAGAAGCTAGGGCTTCACTGATCTGGAAGGGAGGAATGAGCCATCGAGGGGATGGGCCAGTAAGTGTCCGCCATTTTTGTCTCCTTATCCCACACATGTTCCCTGTACGCTGCACACCTCTGGCTTGTCCATTTCATTAATTTTGCTTGTTTCGCTAACCAGCATGTGTGGGGTTCCTTGCTCAGTGCTTTGTGCTAGGTGGCATTTACTCTCTGACAGATCAAGCCCCCTGGCTGCTGAGGGGTCCTGCCAATGGTGTCTGGATGGGGGGGGCGGTCTGCTTATGGATCAACTCATTGCTGGAGATACAGGAGAACTCGGGGCACAAGCCATGTTCTTGCAGTCAGGGGTGGAATGTGGGGAGCAGGCAGCACTGTGCTCGGTATATTGCTGCTCACTGGGCCACGGCCACACAGAACCCAAATACCACGATTGGATCAGCTATCCTCTGTGTCCTCTAGCGGAACATTTGGAAGTCTCAAATTCCAAGTACGTAGCTGACTGTTTAACTCGGGAACATGTTCCCAGGGGATCAGCCGTTTGCTGGCCACACTAGCAACTTCAGATAGGTTTAGATCCAACAAATATTCAGCACATTTCTATGCTATAAACCAAGGGCTTGTTCTTTTAAAAGATGGCTCTGTTGGCCCTCCCTGGTGGCGCAGCGGGTTAAAGCACAGCACTGAGAATCTAAAGCCGCTTCCGCATGAGTTCGATTCCCGCCTGCCCTGGAGGTGGCCACATGGTGTGGCAGACCTCTCCTGACCCGCCCGCTGCTCCCCTCAGCAGTGTACTTCGTCGATCTGCCTGTTCTGCTCCCCACTCTGTCTCTGGTGAATCCTCTCACCCTCCGCATCTCTGGCCTGTACCCCAGTTCTGTATGAATAAATAAAATCTTTAAAAAAAAAAAAAAGATGGCTCTGTTTACACTTACACAAGTTTTATGACATCTAAAGGAAGGCAAGAAATCATTAAATCTATTGCAACTGAGGGCTAGAGCTGGCCACCATCTGGACCTGTCTTCACACAGTATCTGTGTGCCCACAAGGGTTAGGCAGAGGGCAACCCTGTCCTCAGCATTCGAGGCATCATATGCTTTTAGGAACCATAAACTCCAACAAAGCACAGGAGAAAAGGTAATTTTTGTTGTTGCAGGTGAATGAGTGGGCTTACAGGAACATTTCATCATATGAGCCAAAAATAACATGTTTTTAGTTTTGCTGAATCATAGCCTGTCTGATTTTTCATTCCAACTCTGTTAAGATATCTCACATAGAAACCGTTTGTTTTGCTATTGCTTCCCCTTCCTATTTTACTCACTCACTCACACACGTCTTAAACGATCAGGATGGACCAGGCACTGTGGAAGTAAGGAATCCGGCACTCATGGGTGCTACAGCAATGCCTTTATACAGGCTCTGGGGTGAACAGGGCTCCCTCAGAATTGTGCTGTGTATAACCAGCATGGCCACAGGCAGCGGCCATCCAGAGAACCGAAAGCCACAAAGGAGAACTTCACAGTTTAGGTGGGAAGCACAGACATAAAAGTGAAGACTCATCTGATGGATATCTACAGGAAACCCAAGTGGGGAACAGCTAGCTGAGGGGTTAAGAGTCTAAAGTCACCATGAAATCAAAATTACCAGCATTTGGAATGGTCATGTGATTCAAATAGGTCCAGCGACTCAACTGTGGAGTTTTATGCACCTGAAGAGGAGATGCTCAGAGCTCTGTTTACGGAGGTTACTTAACCTTGTAGGATTTAAAAACAAAATAAACAGAAAACAGGGCCACCATGTCAAGCAAGCCAGTGCAGGGGAAAAGCAGAGCCAAATGCTGGAAATACCTGAGTCCTGATGGCAATGTGTGTGTCCCTGGATCCTGAAGCTAAATAGCCCCTGGACTTTTCAGTTATGTGAGCTAATAATTTTTTTTTTCTTAAAAATAAAATTAGACAGTATCACCACTGAACGTCCCTTGAATTTACACTATATCAGTGAAGGGACTGACTTGCCACAGGCAGCACAGCCAGATGGATGTTACTCGGTTGAACACAGGCTACTGCACAGTTGTGTTGTAAAAGTCCAGTCTTGGGCCCTCCCTGGTGGCGCAGCGGGTTAAAGCACAGCACTGAGAATCTGAAGCCACTTCCGTATGAGTTCGATTCCCGCCTGCCCCGGAGGTGACCACATGGCGGGCCAGACCTCTCCTGACCCGCCCGCTGCTCCCCTCAGCAGTGTACTTCGTCGATCTGCCTGTTCTGCTCCCCACTCTGTCTCTGGTGAAGCCTCTCGCCGCCCCTGAGCCTCTGGCCTGTACCCCAGTTCTGTATGAATAAATAAATAAATCTTTAAAAAAAAAAAAAAGTCCAGTCTTGTATCATTCAACACTAGACTCCTAATCAGTAGATAATGTCTTTTACTCTACAACAGGCTTTCAGGAGCCTGTGAGGCTTCTGGAACCTAAGGGTGACTAAGGATAGAGCAAAGTTAACTCCCAGTGCTCCCACGGTCATGGTAGGGTGGTGGGTGGAGTAAAGGTCCTTCTTGCTCTCTAACTGAGCTTGTAGTCCTGAATTTGTATGGATTAAAAGTGAGCTTAAGCCACTTTTTTCCTCCTCTGAGCAGCTTTGGAGTAAAGGACAATTCACTTTACCTCAAATGTGGCACCATCCCTGCCAGAGAAAGAAGACTGTTTATGAGGGCAGAGAACTGCAAAAACCAAGCACCTTTGGAAAGGGGAGGAGTAACTCTGAAGCATGGCAACAGAGGCAGGAGGAAGAGTTGAAGCCACATAGTGCAGGGCTTCACCTCAGTTTGCTACTGATAAGGGCATTGGGAAATTTTAATAAAAGTGTGTCTGGGTTGTTTGGAGGAAGAAGCTGTAGCACAAGGAAAGAGTCTAGACAAGCAAGAGAAGGGTGGGTGACACAAGCTATGCAACCTCTGTCCACAGACGCGGTACGGATGGGGGGAAATGCTCTGAAAAATCAGACTTTCCACGCTAACTTATGTTATAACCTCCCTTTTTGTATAATTGTAATATCAAAATATTCTGAGCAACCTTCAGCTTGCACTTGGATTGCCTCAGCCTCAGAAGGCACTGCCTGGCCCTGACAAGCAAGTATTGCACCAGGGTGAGAAATTCCTCTTGAAGTCAAAAGTCATTAAACAACTGGCTGATTAATAAAGACAAATGGCTGTTCCTGCAAAGTCTCTCACTGCCAGACAGAGGAAAACCCAAATCTTATCACTCTATCTCACACAGCCTTCTATTCAGTTTCTAAATAACCACTCAAGCTTTCTACTATCTAGTCCTTAGATATGGAAATTCACCCAAGTCGCCTATGCAGAGCTAATCAGGTTTTCTACCATCTAGACTTAAAGAGAACTCACTTAAACTTTCTAACAAGTTTTTCAAAGAACCTTACCTTAATTTGATTTACAAGAAATTTCCTCTTCCTGCCCTCTCTTTACTTTATCCCCTAGGATATCTCAATGAGAATGAAAACCATTAAGTAGTAGTGGTAAATATAGTAATATTAGTCTTAAACTTTGTGAATCTATGTACCTGTTTTAACCTTGATAGATTGATTTTAAAAATATTTAATCTCAACTAAAGGTCAAAACTACCCCAGACTATTCTTAGCAAAAAGGTGATTGTGATCTCAGCCCATTTCATATGCTAATGTCATTCCTCTGCCTGCTTGAAGTGTATAAAATAAACCTCTGCTGAAGGCAGAGCAGGAAGACTTGCACCCAACTCCCATTCCTGTGTCTTCCTCATGCCCGCTCCCCTTTTATTTCCTTTTTCCCCTTTTTCCAGGAATCTCTGCTCGCCGACGCCATTCCCACCTTGAGACCCTGCATGTTCTGCCCCCCAATAATCCATGATCGGGGACAAAGAGTCCCCGACAGGTGGGGCAGCCTAGGAGAGTGCATCATTGGCCCTTGTTTCTTACCAGACATCATGCCTTCGCTCCTTGCCACGTGACTCCAGCCCCTCCCACTAGCTGGGTGGAGTACTGACTTTGGACCAGACCATGAGTTTAATTTCTCCATAAAGAAACAACATTTCCATGAGAAGAAAACGCTGGTAATAGTCGGAAAGAAAGATATGAGAGATGTGTAGGTAAGAGTCATCCTATCTGATGGAGCTGGAAAGGATCATACTTAGTGAAATAAGCCAGAAAGAAAAAAAAAAATACTGGATGGTTTCACTCAAAGCAGGGGCATAAAGGACCGGGGGGGGGGGGGCGCAATAATGAACAACTATATTCCAGAGACATTTTATGGGGATGGGGTGGGGAATGGGATCAAAAATGGGGGCTGGGGAAGAGCACTGGATAATAGTGATGGCACATCGGTGAACTGGTGATGGGAAGCCCAAGGGGATTCCCACGGGGAGATAGAAAAAGGCACAAAATGATGTAGAAATAAAAAGAGTGATCCTATTTGAACCTCAAGACACATGATCTGAGCCTGGTCATGGGCACAGATTCACAGGCTACTTAGGAGTCACATGCGACAGGCCCGCGTGGAAGTGGGCAGCATGAGAGGAGTGCACATTCTGTTTCTGGTTTGAACAAGGGGTCTGATGTTAATGCTTAATCAGGGAGTAGAGGAGGAAGGGCAGGTTTGCAGTAAAGATAAGGGATTCAGCTTTGTCATGTTGGCTTGAGATGCCTGAGTAACTTCCAGGAGGGATGCCCTGTTGGCAAATGAACCAGCCCATTGTT